AATAATCCCACAAAAAGTTAAATAAAAGGAGATTAATAAGAGAACAGCAGAAATAAAGGAAGTAGAAGACAAAGAAGTAATTGAGAGGACCAACAAAGAACAACAGCAAAATGCAGAGTTGTTTAAAAAGATGTCAAACCTCTGACAAGATTTTTTTTAAAAGAGAGGAAGAAATAAAGTGAGTAATATCAGAAATGGAAAAGGGGACAAAAACCACACGTAAAACCAGTTTTAAGAGCTGTGAGAATATAATGAATAATTTTATTATAGTAAATTAAAAAACATAAAGAAAATGGACAAATTCCTAAAAATCTCATTCACTGAAACTACCCAAGAAGAAATAGAAAACCTGAGTGGCCCTATAATCATTAAAGGAATTGAATTTTTCAAACTCTTCTCTGAAGGAAAAATACCAAGATCAGACAATTTTTCAGTCAAGGTCTATCAAATCTTCAAGGAACAAATAATTCCCATCATATGCAAACTGTTGCAGAATATAAAAAAGAAGTGATATTCCATAATCCATTCTACCAAACTAGTATAAGATAGATTCTAATTCAAAGACACTACTAAAAGGAAAATTACAGCTCAATATCCATCCTAAACATTGAAAAATATTAAATATTAGCAAACTGAATCCAAAACAGTTTATTTAAAAAAAGATAATATATCATGACCAAGTTGAACTTGTCCCAAAAATGCAATAGTAGTTCAATATCAGAAAAATCTATTAAATGTTACTCACCACATTATTAGACCAAAGAAGAAAAATAACATAATCATTTCAATCAATGCAGAAAAAAAGGCTTTTGATAAAATTTAACACCAAATTAGTATTTTAGCTAGGAAATGAAGGAAAGGTCTTTATTTCTGATCAGGGATACCTACCAAATACAGCAAACATCATAGGTTTTTTTGTTTTATTTTGTTTTTATCTAGAAATAATTTTTAACTTACAGGAAAATGGTATCAATAAAAACAGAAGGCCAGGCACAGTTGCTCACACCTGTAATCCCAACACTTTGGGAGGCCAGGGCAGAGGGGATCATTTAGGGCCAGGAGTTCAAGACCAGTCTGGGCAACATAGCAAGCCCTCATCTCCACAAAAGATTAAAAAATTAGCCAGGCGTCGTGGTGCACACCTATAGTCTTAGCTACTTTGGAGGTTGAGGAAGGAGGATCCCTTGAGCCCAGGAGTTGAAGCTGCAGTAAGCTATGGTTGTGCCACTGCACTCCAGCCTAGGTAACACAGCTAAACTGTGTATCTCTTTAAATTTGAAAATAAAAATAAATTAAAAATAAAAACAGAATACATATGTAAAATAAAAATAAGAATACAAAATATATGTGTATTATTTTCCCACGTTCACCCACTGTTCATATTTTGCCCCATTTGCTTTATCATTTTGCTTGCTTTCTCTTACTTCTACATGTGTGTATATGCATGTGCATGTTTGAAATGTAGCATGAAATTAGCATGTCAATCTACACTTCGATTTTTATTGCAGCACTATTCACAGTAGCCAAGACATGGAATCAACCTAAGGGTCCATCAACAGACAAACGGACAAAGAATACGTAGTATATACACACAATGGAGTACTATTCAGCCATAAAAAAGAATCAGATTCTGTCATACGCAACAACATGGATAGAATGGAAAGTCATTATTTTGAGTAAAATGTCAGACACAGAAGGACAAACACTGTATGTTCTCACTCTCATGTGGAAGCTAAAAAAGTTGATCTCATGTGGAGAGTAGAATAGTGGTTACTAGAAGCTGAGATGGTAGATGTTAGAGGAAGATAGCCAAAGGTTGGTTAGCAGATACAAAATTATACCAAGATAGGAGGAATAAGTCTTAGTTTTCTATAGCACCATAGGGGAACTATAATTTACAACAATTTATTGCATATTTTCAAATAGCTAGAAGAAGCGCTTTTGAATGTTCCCAATACACACACACACACACACAAATGGTAAGTATTGGCCGGGAAGGGTGGCTCACGCCTGTAATCCCAGCACTTTGGGAGGCTGAGGTGGGCGGATAACAAAGTCAAGGGATCAACACCATCCTGGCCAACATGGTGAAACCCCATCTCTATTAAAATACAAAAATTAGCTGGGCGTGGTGGCATGCACCTGTTGTCCCAGATGCTCGGGAGGCTGAGGCAGAAGAACTGCTTGAACCTGGGAGGTAGAGGTTGCAGTGAGCCAAGATCACGCCACTGCACTCCAGCCTGGCACCTGGTGACAGAGCAAGACTCTGTCTCAAAATAAAAAAGGTAAGTATCTGAGGTGATTGGTATGTCAATTACCCTGATTTGATCATTATACATTGTATACATGTATCAAAATATCACACTGTACCCCATAAATATATACAATTATTGTGTCAATTAAAAATTGTAGTAAGAGAAAAAAAAAAAAACCCTTTCTTTGAACATAAACTGATATACTCCCTGTACTCAGTTGAAAAACAAAAACAAAAAAGATTGAAGAGGCTACCTGTAGCTAGAACAGAAAGGATAGAACTTGCCCCTACTAAGGAGTCAGAGTATTTGTATTCCTATTCCAAGTCAGCCAATTAGATAACAACAAAATACCTAACAGGCTTATAACTTCTGTTTGGATTTTTAAAAATAATTAATAAAAGCTAAGTGAAAAAGTATTGAAAATATTCTAAAACTTAAAAAAAAATTCTTAAAAAGAATTTCCCAGTTAATCTTCCCTAAGTTCAATGTTTTTGCTATTTAAATAAGTAAGTTTATAACTGCAGATCACTATTGTAATAAACTTTATTTAATCAAGTGGAACTTCGACCCAAAAAGTTTGTGTAAAATAGTATGATTATGGCACCACCTGGTGGCAGTGTATTCCAAAAGCAGAGGTTGCGCGCGTGTGTGTGTGTGTGTGTGCGCGTGCGTATTTTTATTAATAACAAATTCATTCATTTATTTACTATTTAATAGGCATCTACTAGGCATAGCTCATATAAATCTTTAAATCTCTCTTGGAAGACAGGAAATAAAATAAGGTATTTTATTTCTAGATAAAATACCTTATTTTAAAATAAGGTTTTAGATACTATACCTTATATTACCTTATACCCTGTTTTAGATACTATACCTTATAGTATCAAACAGGGTCTCTATCTCCAAGGAAAAAAATCTACAGTTAAATTATGATTATCAGAATGTAAGAAAAGAATCTGTTCTTATTTCGAAGTTTCCTGAAAGTATTTATGTCCCTGGAACTTTCAAGCAAGAAGTCCTCAAGAGTGTACTGATAAACATAGTCTATCAAGTCACCACATTGTAAGCAGTTTTCAAGGAAAATAACTGCAGTGGTTTTAAAAATGTCCTCAAATTCTTGACACTTCTTCAAAAGGTTGGCCAGGCATAGTCGCTCATGCCTGTAATCCCAGCACTTTGGGAGGCCCCAATGGGTGGATTACCTGAGGTCAGGAGTTTAAGCCCAGCCTGGACAACAGGGTGAAACCCCATCTCTAGTAAAAATACAAAAATTAATCAGGCGTGGTGATGCATGCCTGCAATCCCAACTACTCACTTGAACCCAGGAGGCAGAGGTTGCAGTGAGCCAGGATTGTGCCACTGCACTCCAGTCTGGGCAACAGAGGAAGACTCTCTCTCAAAAAAAAAAAAAAAAAAAAGTAGAGGCTAATTTCCCTTAACCTAAATGTAGGCTTGACTTGATGACTGATTTCTAAAGACGTAAAGTGGCAGAAGCAGTGGTGTGTAACTTCCAAAGCTAGGTTGCCAAAGATATCACCACTTCCATCTTGCCTTCTTTGAGACCACTCCCCTGGGGGAAGTCAGCAATCATGTCATAATACTCATGCAGCCTGTGCAGAGCCTACCTGGGGAGGCACTGAGCCCTCCTGCCAACCACCAGTATCCATTTGCCAGTCACATAAGTGGGCCCCCTCAGAAACAGATCCTACAGCCCCAACCAAGCTTCAGATGACTGCATCCCTCACCAACGCGGCTTGAGCTAAGTCACTCCCAAAGACACTAAGAAATAATCAAGCACAGTCCTTGGCACACAGTTAGTCCTTGGCATAATGTTTATTGTTTTAAGCCACTTAGTTTTGGCATAATTTGTTATGCAACAGTATTAACCAATCCAATAACCTATCACTTCCTAGAAGAAATTTAATCTATAACAGAAAGTAAAACTAGCTCACTTGAGTTTAATACTGTAATTTTTCTACGTTACTAAAATTTCAAATTGTCCTTCCTAATTTATAAGGAGTGATCCTTTTTTAATTCTCCCAATTGTTTCATAGTATTATTTCATAATATTTACCACTTTCTTTTTTTTGAGACAGGGTCTTCCTCTGTCACCCAGGCTGGGGTACCGTGGTATGACCATGGCTCACTCCAGCCTCGACCTCCCTGGCTCAAGTTCAGCCTCCTGAATAGCTAGGACCGTAAGCATGTACCATCACATGTGACTAAATGGGTTTTGTTTGTTTCTCAGGTTTTTTTTTTTTTTTTGGTAAACACGGGGTCTTGCCTTGTTGCTCAAAGTGCTGGGATTATAGCCATGATATAATCATATAATATATAATGTCATTTATTGTGCATATTACATATATGACATGTATATGTATTACATATATGTAGCATGTGCATGTGTACATATAACATAAATATGTGTGTATATATAACATATATATGAATTATATATAAACATATATATAAACACGCCCAGCAATATTTATCACTTTCTAAGTTAATTCAAAGAAACAGCAACCTAAGTGGATTTTAATCAGTCAGCAAAGATTTTTTTTTTTAACGTGTCTGTTTGCAGAGCAACCCGCACTAAGTACTGAGTGAAGAACCATATCCTTGAAGTGCTTATAATTTAATTCAGATTACTGTTCAAGAAATAATTTATGTTTTTTAACTAAACTTTTTCCCTGGCTCTGAAGATCATAGGTCAATGGAAGAAGGTATGAAAAATTTTTCCTTTACCTCTGTGAGGGATCCACAAGCCACACCACCATGCAAGGCTTCATCCAAAGCAGAAAGTGTAGTAGATAAGAATGCTGGTGAGAAATCAGCAGACCTTTGTGCTTTTATTCCATAAGCCTGAACAAGAAAACAATTAAGTTTTATTCAACTTCTAGACATATTCAAAAACATAAACCAACTCTAATTCTCTAAATTTTAGCAACTTTAACCCTAATCCATCCTTTTCCCTTCTATTATTTGTTCAACAAATATTTACTCTGTGCCAAGGACTGTGCTAGATTACGGGGATATGACGTAACAGAAAGAGACCTTGCCCTCATAGTCTTATGAAGTCTGTGGGGACTATGAAATTAGGACTAGAAACCAGGCAATGACACCAGCATTAATAAGAGATATGTAATAGGGAAAGTATAACGGATATGGATTTTGGAAACTTAATGGAATTTCTGGATGCCTGTGCTAAAATTTGAAACAGCTGTTAGGTAAGCAAAGGAAATGTGACTATTCCTGCCAAAGAGGACAGAATGTACAAAGAAAGGTCAAGAAGCAAGAGAGGAAAGAGAGACTAACAAAAACTGTAAAACATACAGTTCATTTAGAATGACTGAAAGATGGAGTGTGGGTGTAGCACAGCAAGCAATGAGGCTAGAGAAGCAAGCACAGGCCTAACCGTGAACAGCTCTGCTGAAGATGCAAAAAGGAGTGACATGATCAAATTATCATTCAAACTTGGGTTCGTTTATGGAGAATAAGGTCAAGGAAGGTGTGATAGGCTGACAAATGACACCCCACTCCCACCCCAGGATATCCAAATCAAATCTCTAGACCCTGTCTGTGAATATTACCTTATTTGCAAAATGGGTGTTTGCAGATGTGATTAAGTTAAAGACCTTAAGATGAAGGAATAATCCTGGATTATCCAGGTGGACCCTAAATACCCTTACTTGAAAGAGAGATGAAGAGGGAATTCAATACACACAGGAAAAGGTTATGTGAAGATGGAATAGAGAGAGAAGCAGCTACAAGCCAAGGAATGCTAATGGCCACTAAAAGCTGGAAGAGGCAAGGAAGTGATAATCCACTGGAACCTCTGGGGAGAATGCAGCTCTGACTATACCTTAATTTTGAACCTCTGAACTCCAAAACTGTAAGAGAATAAACTTGTGTTGTCTGAAGCCAACCAGTGTATGATGGTTTTTTTTAGAACTGCCACAGGAAACTAATACGACAAATTATAATTTCTTTTTTTTTTTTTTTTTTTTTTTTGAGACGGAGTTTCGCTCTTGTTACCCAGGCTGGAGTGCAATGGCGCGATCTCGGCTCACCGCAACCTCCGCCTCCTGGGTTCAGGCAATTCTCCTGCCTCAGCCTCCTAAGTAGCTGGGATTACAGGCACGCGCCACCATGCCCAGCTTAATTTTTTGCACCTTTAGTAGAGACGGGGTTTCACCATGTTGACCAGGATGGTCTCAATTTCTTGACCTCGTGATCCACCCGCCTCGGCCTCCCAAAGTGCTGGGATTACAGGCTTGAGCCACCGCGCCCGGCCAACAAATTATAATTTCAAAGAGATACTCGGATTAGTTTGTGAAGAACAGCTTAAAACTGGGAGATCTGTCAGGAAGACATTACAATCATTCCAAAGAAAAATAATAGTAGCCAGAAGAAGGTAATAGTAGTGGGGATAAAAACTTTTGGTACTAGCGACTATATCTAAAGCCAGGTACACAGTACAACAGTCCTCCCTTATCCACGGTTTCACTTCCCATGTTTCAATTACCCATGGTCAACCTTGATCTGAAAATATTAAATGGATAATTCCAGAAATAAACAATTCATAAGTTTTAAATTGCACACTGTTCTGAGTAGCACAGTGAAATCTCACATTATCCCACCCGGATGTGAAACATTCCTTTGCCAAGTATATACACACTGCAGACACTCCCCACCCCTTAGTAGCCATCTCAGTTATCAGATCCAAAAAACATAGTGTGTATGTATATATATACATAGAGAGAGAGAGAGAGAGAGAGAGAGTTTGGTACTATCCAAAATTTCAGACATCCACTGAGGGTCTTGAAACATATTCCCTGCAAACGAAGAGAGAAACACTACATATCTGAAGTTTTTCCAATATAATAAAATTCTGAAATTCACCTTTTTTTTTTGTTCAGGACAGAGTCTTACTCTGTCATCCAGGCTAGAGCGCAGTGGTGCGATCTCAGCTCACTTCAACCTCCACTTCCCAGGTTCAAGCAATTCTCCTGCTTCAGCCTCTCAAGTAGCTGGGATTAGAAGCACCTGCCACCACGCCCTGCTAATTTTTGTATTTGTAATAGAGACGAGGTTTCACCACGCTGGCCAGGCTTATTTCAAACTCCTGGTCTCAAGTGATCTGCCCACCTCGGCCTCCCAAAGTGCTGGGACTACAGGTGTGAGCCACTGCACCTGGCCTGAAATTGTCCTTTATTATCATTTCTGTTTGTACATAAGACATTATACAAAGGACTTTGGTGATTTTGTTAGTTTTGATCATTCTGATGTATTTAGAACTACAAAATTTAATACTCTATAAGGAAAGTTGTTTTTTAAATTATTTATTAATCTTCTGGGAGATATATATATATATTTATATATACCCAAAGGAATATAAATCATTCTATTATAAAGATACATGCACACATACATTCATTGCAGCATTATTCACAATAGCAAAGACATGAAATCAACCCAAATGCCCATCAATGATAGACTGAATAAATAAAATAAAATGTGATACATATACACAATGGAATACTATGAGGCCATAAAAAGCAATGAAATTATGTCCTTTGCAGGGACATAGATGGAGCTGGAAGCCATTATCCTCAGCATACTAATGCAGGAGCAGAAAACAAAACACTGTGTGTTCTCTCTTATAAGTAGGAGCTGAACAATGAAAACACATGGACACATGGAAGGGAATAACACACACTAGGGTCTGTCAAAGGTTGCAGGGGTAAGGAGAGCATCAGGAAGAATAGCTAACGGATACTGGGCTTAATACCTAGGTAATAGGATGATCTGTACAGCAAACCACCATGGCACACATTTACCTATGTAACAAACCCGCACATCCTGCACATATATCCTAGAACTTATAATAAATGTTTAAGAAAAAAAGAAAAACCGAAGCCAATGTTTAAGGCAGGTCTGAAATGTAAGGAATACTACAAGAATGAATGTAAACCATATGAGAAAGATGGCTTCTTGAATTGTATTTGAAATTGTATTAAGATGGCAGCTGAAGGTAGTGATGGAAGTAGAAATTAGTTGAATTTTGGGACCATGATCTCTTATTTAATTACTTAACTGGAAATATGCCATGCATATTGACCAATTACAACAACAGATGACAAATGAAAGGTTTTCCTGGTGCTTTACAACCTTCAAAATTGTAACAAGTTAATTTGAATCTAGTCACAGAATCATTGCATAGTATTTTAACTTCTATTTTCTCCCATAAAAGAAAGAAAACTATTCAAAGCAAGGAAATCAATGATAAAGCTAAGACTAGTGCCAATTTCCATCTCCAGTTCTGATTCTCCTTCTGACTACCCTGTCTTTCAGACAGTTTCCTCAGATCACAAGTTAAATCTGAACAAAAGAAAATATCTGTTGATCAGCTTGGCACAGTGGCTCATGCCTATAATCCCAGCAGTTGGGGAAGCCGAGGCAGGAGGATCACTTGAGCTCATCAGTTCAAGAACAGTCTGGGATACATGGTGAAACCCCATCTCTACAAAAAAGCCCAAAACTTAGTTGGGCACAGTGTTGTGCACCTGTAGTTCCCGCTACCCGGGAGGCTGCAGTGGGAGGATGGCTTGAGCCCAGGAGGTGGAGTTTACAGTGAGACAAGATCACACCACTACACTCCAGTCAGAGCAACAGAGCCAAACCTCATCTCAAAAAAACAAAAAAAAAAACTATTTGTTGTTCAAATATCTGTTTATCGTTTTCAGAAGTTTCAAATGACACTAACATTCCTTCCTTCTCCCCTTCTTCAGAGAATTGTACTTCATTGTTTGGTGTTCGGTAAATTTCAATATGAGGTAGTAAGGTAAGTAACTTACAGTCCACATAAATAAATAGATTTACAAAGCACTGAACATAATTTTAGGAAAATCTTACTGTGGGAAAACAAGGTATTTTCTATCATGCTCTAAGTCTACGTTTTGAAAAGCTAGTCATGACACAGAAAATCTGAAAAAATATACGATTTGATGAATGCTTTTGTAAAAGACTTCAAATTTCTTAAGAATAAAGAATAAATATTTAATTATCTTTTATTCAATCAACTAGCAAGTACAATTATGTGTACTTTATAATCTACAGCAAGTGATGATGGTAAAGGTCACTATATCAAAGAAAGGGGCATTCTAAAATTAAGAATATATTACAATTTAACTATGAGGCCCTCAAATACTACCTAATCAATTAGAGAAATGTTTCCTTTTGAACTACTGCTATTGGCTGCAAAAAATAAAAACTTCTGTTGCTCCCTAATTCCAAAATTTAGGAATTGTCTTCCACGAGCTTATAAATTACATAAATTTTTCACATATAGGCTAGGTGTGGTGGTTCACATCTGTAATCCCAGCACTTTGGGAGGCCAAGGCAAGCAGATTACTTGAGCTCAGAAGTTTGAGACCAACCTAGCCAACAAGGTAGAAACCTCATCTTTACTAAAAATAAAAAAATTTTCTGGGTGTGGTAGCACCATGCCTGTAATCCCAGCTACTTGGGAGCCTGAGACAGGAGAATCGCTTGAACCTGGGAGACAAAGGCTGTAATGGGCCAAGATCATGCAACTGCACTCCAGCCTGGGCAACACAGTTGAGACCCCATCTCAAAAAAGAAAAAATTTTCACATGTATTTTCCTTAGAGAAATAACTTCTAAGGTAGGAAACTCAATATTTTTTAGCTACTCATGTCTATTTCTGCATGTGTCTCATTCCTAAAAAAAAAAAAGTTTAATGAGATGAAAAACCATTCATAATCAAATCATAATAAAATATACATATACCGTTTGCATCTTTGGGGCACAGGCCTTGCTGACCATACATAGAAGTTCATAGACACCTCGGTAACTCAGACCAGTTACCTTCATAAGCTCCAGTGGGGAAAGACATAGAAAGTCCTAAAGAAACATAAAGAGAGTATTTTAAACATATATGTGTAACAAAGATATTAGAGTTAAAAGGAAACCTTCAGTTGATATTGCTCATGTAGACAAAAGTGTAATTTATTGCAGATCAAAGATTTATGCATTCATTATAGCATTTTCCCCAAAAATATGCCTTAACTAAAAGTTACAATGACACAGACTTATCTTCTAATTGTCCTGTTCAGTTGGCATATATCAGAGGATACGCCAAATAACATCACATAGCAGCAGTATCCTATCCAGGTGTATATGAGCACTACACTATGCCAAAAAGAATTTGGGTACAGCCGGGCGCGGTGGCTCAAGCCTGTAATCCCAGCACTTTGGGAGGCCGAGGCGGGTGGATCACGAGGTCAAGAGATCGAGACCATCCTGGTCAACATGGTGAAACCCCGTCTCTACTAAAAATACAAAAAATTAGCTGGGCATGGTGGCGTGTGCCTGTAATCCCAGCTACTTAGGAGGCTGAGGCAGGAGAATTGCCTGGACCCAGGAGGCGGAGGTTGCGGTGAGCCGAGATCGCGCCATTGCACTCCAGCCTGGGTAACAAGAGTGAAACTCCACCTCAAAAAAAAAAAAAAAAAAAAAAAAAGAATTTGGGTACAAATACATGCCCAGAAAGTGTCACGCTGAAAGAGTTTCTTTCTAAGCTAGAAGTTCACTCAGAGATAATGTTTCATAAGTGAAAAAGAATGAAACTGACTATAGGATGAAATATCAAATTTCATACTTTTAAGAATATTTCCGAACATAAACATGCAAATAATTAAATGTGTGACAAAGGAACCAAAGATATCTTTAACACAGAAAGCAATTCAAAAAAAAAGTTGCAGAATGCTCTGTGAAAATGTCTTATTAAGGATAAAATCAGGCTGGGCACAGTGGCTCATGTCCGTAATCCTAGCACTTTGGGATACTGAGGCAGGCAGATCACTTGAGATCAAGAATTTGAGACCAGCCTGGCCAACATGGTAAAACCCTATTTCTACTAAAAATATGAAAATTATCCGGATGTGGTGGCACACCCCTTAATCCCAGCTACTCAGGAGGCTGAAGCAGGAGAATCACTTGAATCTGGGAGGCAGAGGTTGCAGTGAGCCGAGATGGCACCACTGTACTCCAGCCTGGACAACAAAGCAAGACACTGACTCAAAAACCAACCAACCAACAAACAAAAGGATAAGATCCTAAGATAAAACCTTAAATCTAGCCAGGCTCAGTGGTGTATGCTTATAATCCTAGCTACTTGGGAGTTGAGGCCAGAGGATTGCTTAGGTCCAGGAGTTTGAGATCAGCCTGGGCAACATGAGAACCTAGTCTCAAAAAAATACAAACAACCAAAACCCTTAAATCTTATTTACCCTGCTAAGGAGGATTTGCTTCACTATCTTGCAAGATCTTCCCTATATATTTTTCATGCTTCATCAATAAGAAAATGGTCTAACTATTAATTTCTCTTGCTTTTATAAAAGAAAGAATACTTTTAAATAGTATCTCCTCATTTGAGTTCTATTTCTCATGTAACTACAAACAAACAGCAAAGGTGTACTTCACCTTATGCCATGACCACTCCCCCCTCAAAATGCAAAAATACTAACTTTGGGTAAATGAAGTCACAATTGGAAATGTACCCAAGGAGGCTTGATATGTACAATTAGCCTATGGAAAAGCACCATCATTTATGTTGTTTTCGTAAGCCTACATTCTTAGATTTCAAGTTTAAGAAGTATTAAGGTATAAAGTTAATTTGTGCATAAAACTTCTCAATGGAAATTTTAAATAGAATTTACCTGACAGGTAAGAATCTGATGTCTACTCAGACGGTCACACAGCTCTTCTGATAAACCCACTCGTTTTAGTTTCTTGCTGCCCATGCCTCCAGATCCAGCAAAGAAAAGAAGAACCATGAAAAAACATCAGAATATAACATAAGTGATAGTGAATAGGCTATCCAAAACAAAATAAAAAATTCCTTAAGTTTTTCCATATGGAAAATGAAACATACTGTGTTAAAAATATTACTGATAGGCTGGGCCTGGTGGCTCACTTCAGTAATCCAAGCACTTTGGAGGCCAAGGCGGGCGGATCACCTGAGGTCCGGAGTTCAAGACCAGCCTGACCAACATGTTGAAACCCCACCTTAAAAAATATATATATATATATATATAAAACTGATAAAGGAATGCTATAGAATCTTTTTAAATGTTTTAACTAGGAAAGACAATTGTTTGTCAAACGGGCACACAGAGAAACAAAGCAAACTCAAATATAATTTCACACAATTATTTGATACTTATTACATGAATATAGTACCACTTCACATTTGTAGAGCATCTCAAAAGGTTCAATGTATGTATAAATTTTATTTGGATATGTAATTAACTTTCAAGGCATATTTACAAACAGAACCACTAGAAAGTCTATTGCACTGTAACAATTTACACTGCACTGTAACAGTAATAGCTGTATTTATTGAGCACCTACCACATACCAGGCACTGTTTCAAAACTTATCTAAATCATTACATTTAATCTTCTCAACAACCCTAGAAGGAAAGTAGATTATTGGCCCCTTTTTTTTACATATGAGAAAACTAAAGCCTAGAAAAGTTAGCTAGTCCATTGTCACCAGAAAACATAAATGACTGATTCAGAATTTGAACCCAGGCAGTCTGACTCTGAAACCTATCTTTTTAATCATTACACTCTATTGCAAGTCCATAATCATATTTAACTTTTTCCTTTTCTAGGAGTCAGAACACACCTTCTGAATCAAATGAAATTTCATCATTGCAGTATTAAAATGTTCATATATATATATATATATATATATTTTTTTTTTTTTGAGATAGGGTGTGGCTCTGTCACCCCAGCTAGAATGCAGTGGTGTGATCTCAGCTCACCTCAACCTCCACCTCCTGGGCTCAAGCAATCCTCCTACCTCAGCCTCCCAAGTAGCTGGGACCACAGCATGCACCACCATACCCGGCTAATTTTTATATTTTCTGTAGAGACACGGTCGTGACCATGCTAACCAAATTTTTGTATTTTTTGTAGATACAGGGTTTTGCCATGTTGCCCAAGCCAGTCTCAAACTCCTGGGCTCAAGTGATTCTCCCACCTTGACCTCCTAAAGTGCTGGGATTACAGGCATGAGCTGCTTATATTCTCACATGCAGTTAAATTTCACTCTTGTACCTTGCTAGAAGTAAATGAGGCTCATGAAATATTTATCTTTAGAGAGTTACAAAAGAATTACTGTGGACGAGCATGATGGCTCACACCTGTAATCCCAGCACTTTGGGAAGAGGCAGGCAGATTACGAGATCAGGAGATCGAGACCATCCTGGCTAACACAGTGAAACCCTGTCTCTACTAAAAATATAAAAAATTAGCCAGGTGTGGTAGCACGTGTCTGTAGTCCCAGCTAGTCGGGAGGCTCAGGCAAGAGGATCACTTGAACCTGGGGAGCAGAGGTTGCAGTGAGCCGAGATTGTGTCACTGCACTCTAGCCTGGGAAACAAAGCAAGACTCTGTCTCAACAATAATAATAATAATAATAATAATAATAATAATAATAATTACTGTGAGTCTCTTAATGCATACAAAGAAGAAGTCATATATCTCATTGAGATGGTAAAGAAATATCTTCTGGAAAGAACTGAAACAATAATTCATGGATCCAAGGAATAAAGCAATGTAGTTATCAGAAAAGAATTAACATTTTAAAATGAAAATATATGTATACTGAGGATATACATATTTGTTTATTTCCAATACTATGGCCCACATTTCTATCTAACACCTAAATTCTCTGAATCAGATTGAATCAATCTCTCTCTCTCTTACACACACACAATACATACATACACGCCTCTCAAAAACACAAAATACATCCTCTTCACTTCTCTCTATGGGAATTTGTTAGAGATCTGTTTCCCCCAATAGAAAACCAAGTGATATCTGCTATAACACTGCCTAGTGTCTTTTCAGATCAGGTAGTTTCAGGTAATGACACCGTTTAGACTGAAAAATTCAATTCAATTTAAAAGAAAAAAAAAAAAAAAAGAAAAGAAGGCCGGGCATGCTGACTCAAGCCTGTAATCACAGCACTCTGGGAGGCCGAGGCAGGTGGATCACGAGGTCGAGAGGTCGAGACCATCCTGGTCAACATAGTGAAACCCTGTCTCTACTAAAAATACAAAAAAATTAGCTGGGCATGGTGGCACGTACCTGTAATCCCAGCTACTCAGGAGGCGGAGGCACGAGAATTGCTTGAACCCAGGAGGCGGAAGTTGCGGTGAGCCAAGATCGTGCCATTGCACTCCAGCCTGGCTAACAAAAGCGAAACTCCATCTCAAAAAAAAAAAAAGAACTGTAGGCCACAAGAGATGGCACACGCCTGTAATGTTAGCACTTTGGGAGGCCAAGGCAGGCAAACTTCTTTAGCCCAGGAGTTCAAGACCAGCCTCGGCAACATAGACTCTGTCTCTACAAAAAAAAAAAAAAAAAAAAAAATTAGCTGGGCATTGTGGTGCACACCTGTAGCAGTCTCAGAAGGCTCAGATGAGAGGATCATCTGAGCCCAGGAGGTCAAGGCTGCAGTGAGCTATGATCATGCCACTGGACTCTAGCCTAAGGAACAGACAGAGACCCTGTCAAAAACAAAAAAACAAAACTATAAATTCTAAAGTACAGGGACTTTTAAAACAACCAATTCTGCTACTGCTGCGTTATTAGGGCCACTCCCATCACTTGCCTGGACAATTGCATATTGTTTCTGGCCACTCCATTCATTTGTTCCTTAATTTGCTCCTTCCACAGGCATTTAAGTACACACCCTGCTGAGCTCCGGGGTACCAGAATCACTTAAGCATTTCCCCTCCCCTTTGAATACTTGCAGTTAAGAGATGAAAAGGGATGTACACACAAGTAAGTACAGCCATGCAGTAAGTATTGCAACTGCTATTTAAAAGTGCCATAGGAACAGAGAGGAAGAAGCCCCAAATTCGCCTGCAGAAGTCAGATCAGTGTCACAAACCTGCCCTGAGTAAGTTCCTAAAAAGTCATGCTTATCCTTTAACACTTCCCATGGGACTAGTAGACCACAGGATAAATTCCTAACTTCTTAGGGTCACATTAAAAAAAAAACATCAAAAATTGGTCCCTCGCTTCCTTCTCACTCATACATCACATTGCAAGGTTCAGATCCTGGGCTTCCTGGCAGTTACCTCACCTGTCAATGTCTTAATTTCCTTAAAACCCTTGTTTTACAGTCATACAAAGTAGTAAGTTACAGTCATATAAATTTATTACTTCATATGACTGTAGCAGAAGTTAAAGGAGTCAGGTAGTGAGTGCCTGGCACTTAAGGTCAGCAATCATCATTATCAATTCATTCAGCAATAATCATTTACTGACTCTCACATGACCTGCCCTCTAGCCACATGGTATGTGTATTGGCAGGTTACACAACTGTCATCCTGTCTCCCTGACTTCCCTCCACAAAGCCTTCCCCAGAGTATTTTCCTCTCCAGTGTTCTCATCTACTTTGTATATATCTGTTCGATAATCTTATCAAAGTATTATTAAGGCTTGCAAGTTTGTTTTCTCCACCGGAGCACGTAAATTCCTGCTGTGTACGTGTGCAAGAATGCACCTATGTGTATTGCACATGACTGGAGACGGTCAACCCTGGAGAATGGACCCTCTCCTCCTCACCACCAAGAAAAGAAAATTCTTCATGTTAGATGTTCAACTATAACTGTTTAGGAAAAATAATAGCTAATATTTATTGAGCCCTTATTACGTGCCACACTGTTCCAAAGGCTTCGGGTGTTTTACCTCACTTTACAGATAAGGATACTGAGGCACCAAGTTGAGAAACTTGGGCAAAGTCGAACAGCTAAATAATCGGTGTGAAGCTCGCATTCGAATCCTGGGACCGGACTCCAGATTCCACGCTCTCCAACACCACGCGAAGTGCGACAGTCCCTCAACTTCCCCTAATGACAGGCTCCCTTGCTTAAACCCCAAACTACCTGAAGCGGGAAGGGGGCTAGGGAGGAAGATGGGCATCAACAGGCGGAAAAATAATCCAGAATCCCCTAAAAAGAGGTTTTCCCAACAATGAGCAGCTTCCAAGCATTCCCCACAAAAGACTGCCCGAAGCTCCCCCGATTCGCGGCGGGGTTCTTAGTGAAGATCCCGCCCGTCTTAAGGGAGCACGCCCAGCACCCAAAGACGAATACAGCTAATATCGACACCCACGGGCCTAGGGTGGGAGCAGGACATAATGAGCGAACCCCACTTCCCCACAATGGCACCCCACATGAAACTTTCCAATACCGGGTCTGCAGTCTCCAACTTTTAAGTTTCCCCACTCATTACACAGTTCCCCCGCGGAAAGCGCCGCAAAGCAACAACCGAAGCACTGATTGGGTCGTCATCCTTGCTATTGTATCCAATAAGAGGCCGGCAGAGGCTCAAGTTGGCCCCGCAGCTTGCTGGGAATTGTAGTTAACACTGTTATCAGCCCCTAAAAGGTCGAATCTGAAGCAGTTTCTCAATATAATGATTATCAAAATCTGTTGGAGGACCAACACCAAAGAGACTATGAAGCAAGGGAACACTCTGTTTGGAAATACTTTTTTGTATCACCATTTTTAAAAATGGCTTAATGGGGCCGGGCGCGGTGGCTCACGCCTGGAATCCCAGCACTTTTGTAACCGCCCAGTGGGTTCACCTTGCCAGCTGCCTAGACAAAACCAATTTATTAGGACAGGAGAATTGCAATTGAGAAAGAGTAATTCACGCAGAGCCAGCTGTGCGGAAGACCAGAGTTTTATTACTCAAATCAGTTGCCATGAGCATTTGGGGATCAGAGTTTTTACCGATAATTTGGCTGGTAGGGGCCTGAGAGGTAAGGAGTGCTGATTGGTCAGGTTGGAGATGGAATCATAACGGGTCGAAGTGAGGTTTTCTTAATGTCTTCTGTTCCTGGGTGTGATGGAAGAACTGGTTGGGCCAGATTACTGGTCTGGGTGGTGTCAATTAATTAACTGAGTGCAGGGTCTACAAAATATCTCAAGCACTGATCTTAGTGCTTACACTAGTGGTATTACCCCCAGGAGCAATTTGGGGAGATTCAGACCCTTAGAGCCAGAGACTGCAGGACCCCTAAACTGTAATTTCTAATCTTATAGTTAATCTGGTAGTCCTACAAAGGCAGGCTGGTGCCCAGGCAAGAAAGGGTCTTTTCGGAAAGAGCTGTTATCAATTTTCTTTCACAATCAAACCATGAACTGAATTCCTTCCCAAAATTAGTTCAGCCCACGCCCAGGACTGAACAAGGACAGCTTAACGGTTAGCAAGACAGAATCGGTTAGGTTTGATTTCCTTCACTGTCATAATTTCCTCAGTTATAATTTTGCAAAGGCGGTTTCACTTTGGGATACTGAGGGGGGCGGATCACTTGAGCTCAGGAGTTTGAAACCAGCCTGGCCAACGTGGCAAAAACCTCGTCTCTACTGAAAACACAAAAATTAACCTGGCATGATGGCGGGCACCTGTGATACCAGGTACTTGAGAGGCTGAGGTGAGGAGTCAGACCTTACCTCAAAAAAATAAAAATTAAAAAATAAATTAATGAGCTAGAGAGGCATGTTTTCTTAAGAATTGAGGACAATCCACCAATCGCAGAAGAGTTTTTGGACGAGAACGTTCTGTTTGTTTTAATTTGCTCTTTTTAACCACCCCTTGGTGGTGAAATAGTTTGGGAAATGCTGAATGAAATTACTAAACCTGAAACATATATTGAGGAAACCTGATAGTCTATGATTTATAAACGCCAGAGAAACCAAACAGAAGTCTTGGTGTAAAGCAGCTGTGGTGAGGAAACCTAATAAACCGATACTTTTTAAGACTTGGTTTCAGGCCGGGCACAGTTGCTCACACCTGTAATCTCAGCAGGAGGCCGAGGCAGGTGGACCACGAGGTCAGCAGTTCGAGACCAGCCTGACCAACACAGAGAAACCCCCGTCTCTACTAAAAATACAAAAATTCGCCGGGCATGGTGGCGCACGCCTGTTGTCCCAGCTCTCAGGAGGCTAAGGCAGGAAAATGGCCTGAACCTAAGAGGCAGAGGTTGTAATGAGCCGAGATCACGCAATTGCACTCCAGCCTGGGCGACAGAGGGAGCCTCCGTCTCAAAAAAAAAAAAAAAAAAAAAGACTTGGTTTCAGGTTATTATGTTTGCGAAAAACCTTTGCTCATTCTTTGCTCTCTGATCTCTTATGCATACTTCCATCTTATAATTTAGCCCACTGTATCCTAATTTTTGGCCTGCACCTCCCTTAAGGAGAGGAACCTCAATTTACTCAACTTAGAGAATAGGGCCTAAGCCCAGTGTAGTGGCGCACGCCTTACAGGAAGGCCGAGGCTGAGGATTACTTGATCTAGGAAATTCGAGGTTGCAGTGAGCCGAGATCACTCCACTGCACTCCAGCGACAGAGACCCTGTCTCTAAAAAAAATAAAACAAAGCCTCGCACACAGTTCAGTTAACAGTTGTCAGGTAAATGTGCAAATAAATGAATGCAGTGAAGCAGAAGAATATGGAAATTCAGACCTAAGAGTTCCGGAACAAATAAGCCCAGTAGAAAGAATAATAATGGAGGAGAACCCCGTTCTCCTAGCTCTGAGTATCCCCCGCTCCTGGCAAAACACCATCACTGGTTTGCGTTCACTAAACGTTGACCTCAAATATTAAGGAGAAAAGAGAGTGGGGGGAAAAAAATCCAGGGGCACAGCTCTTCCCGCTACCTGCTTGGCGGAATGGAGAACGGAAAGTATTGAGTGCAGGAGCTGCCACAATTAAGAGAGACGGTCCGCAGCCAGGTGGCTGATTTCCTCTTTCCGAGCTTTCCAGCGTTCCCTCCTCCCAGAGGGGTGGCGTCACGTGACTCAAACCAAAATGGCACTTAATTTCCATCTTCCCTGCCTTGAGCCAATAGGAGTGGGGCTTTCAGTCGTTCGCACCACCGCTTTTCGGAGTGGGTTCTGTCACCTGACTCGGCTCAAACATGGCTGCGCTGAGAGCTCTATTGCTTTGGGCGCCGGGAGCAGGTGAGTGGTAGACACCCCTGATTGGCAGGGGCCCCTCTCCACGACCCCTGCAAGAAGCGTCCTTGCGTCCCACCCCTGCACTGCTTTCGACGTCTGACACGGATTCGTCTCCTCATCTCCAGTCTCTGCCTTAACAGAGGGCTCAAAATAGAGAGGTTCCTGTTGAATTTCTCATCCTTGAGGAGGCGACCACCTGGGGATTTTGGAGTCAGGGCTGGGCGTAAAGTTCAGCAGGGAATAAGGACGTAGAGTTATGGGTCTGCGTCCGGGGCAAATATGACTTCTAATATTGTGAAATATAGGAATCGCGTAAAGAGATGGGATCCGCCCCTCGGAGAAAGTGTTTTCAAAAAGTAACGTGGCGAATTAAACTTAAAACGATGCTTCGGCAAGTGAAGTCCCGCCTTTCCCAGACGGGCCAGTAGTTGCTGCTCTGTCTTAATACAGTGCCTTCTGTTTCTTCTCACTGGTGTGTGTGTTGTTTCTAGGAGATATTCCGCGAATGAGAACATTGAGAATGTGTTCGGCGTAAGTCATCTCTTTGTATCTCCCTGCACTCTGTGCTGGGAAAATGAATCATCCATTTGGAAAAGAGGAAGCTGCTTCCCAGAAGCAGCTTTTTGGATTTTTCTGTGAATGTCTACGGAGGGGAGAATGGGAGCTGGCACAGGCATGTGTACCTCAGCTACACGAGGGACAAGGGGACATTCCAAAGAGGGTAGAAGACATACTTCAGGCATTGGTGGTGTGTCCAAATCTGCTGAGGTAAGGAGTCTCTTTTCCTACCCTCTGAAGAATAAGCAGAGGCTTATTCTTATTCACACGTGCTCTGAAATTTTACCTCTGTGGTATACACTCATTACTTAGTCAATACTGGCTTTAGATTATCATCTGCAACTACCTGGCCACCAACGTGTGCCTGAAACTGCGGTTTCTTGTTTATCCTCGTTAATATAGATGGTGGAATTGCGTTGAAAACTATCTTCTTTACCTCCAAAAAAGCAAACCCTGCACTCTTCTTGCTTATGAGATTGAAGATATTGTTGTAGCTTTACTTAAAACTTTTTATTTTGAAATAATTATAGTGTCACAAGAAGTTGCCATAGTCTCACAAGAAGTTGCCAGAATATGAAGTCCAGTGTATTCTTTTCCCAGTTTCCCCCAATGGTGATGTCTCATGCAGCTGTAGTACAATATCAAAACATTGACGACATTGGTACATTTCTCTTAATGACACTACAGACTTTGGTTTTCAGCATTTTCTTAATCTGCCTTCATTTTTTCATTTGTTGTTTTATGCAGTTTTATCCATGTGTAGATTCATGTAATACCACCGTAATAGGGATCAGAACTGTTCCATCGGGGCCAGGCGCGGTGGCTCAAGCCTGTAATCCCAGCACTTTGGGAGGCCGAGGCGGGTGGATCACGAGGTCAAGAGATCGAGACCATCCTGGTCAACATGGTGAAACCCCGTCTCTACTAAAAATACAAAAAATTAGCTGGGCATGGTGGTGCGTGCCTGTAATCCCAGCTACTCAGGAGGCTGAGGCAGGAGAATTGCCTGAACCCAGGAGGCGGAGGTTGCGGTGAGCCGAGATCGCGCCATTGCACTCCAGCCTGGGTAACAAGAGCAAAACTGTCTCAAAAAAAAAAAAAAAAAAGAACTGTTCCATCACCACAGAAGAACTCCCTCACTCCTTGGTGCTAGCTACCTGTTTGTATTTATACAACAACTCCTCCTTGTTCCCTGGCAACCACAGTTCTCTATCCTAGATTTTCTTTCTTTTTTTTTTTTTTTTTTGAGACGGAGTTTTCGCTCTTGTTACCCAGGCTGGGGTGCAATGGCGCGATCTCGGCTCACCGCAACCTCCGCCTCCTGGGTTCAGGCAATTCTCCTGCCTCAGCCTCCTGAGTAGCTGGGATTACAGGCACGCACCACCACGCCCAGCTAATTTTTTGTATTTTTAGTAGAGACGGGGTTTCACCATGTTGACCAGGATGGTCTGGTTCTCTTGACCTTGTGATCCACCCGCCTCGGCCTCCCAAAGTGCTGGGATTACAGGCTTGAGCCACCGCGCCCGGCATAGATTTTCAATTAAGTTCCTCCTGGTGATGCTAGTAACCACGAGTGATATAGGAGTCAAATGTACTGTTTTAACTCTTTCCTTGGTTTTTCCTTCCTTTGACTGTTATGCTGTACTCTTTAAATTTTTTTTTTATTTTTGAGACAGAGTTTGGCTCTTGTCACCCAGGCTGGAGTGCAATGGCACAATCTTGGCTCACCGCAACCTC